CCTTACTTCCTTTATCCTCTTTTCTTCATCCTGCCCCTTCAATACCTCGCTCTCTCTCCCTCACACCACCCACCACCCACACACACGACAGACACACCACACCAACATACTCTCTCCCGTTATCTCCTCGCATCTTACATAATCAACCACTCTCTCCTTCACCGCAGTATTCCCCACAGCTCCACGAGGACATCACGCGTAGCTGTCACCCTCCGTCGGGGCACACACACCAAACGGACCAACGCACACAGCCGACCCCCATGATGCCCACATCAGCACAACTACCCTGCTCGTGTTCCAGCGGCCCACCACAACAAGAGAGAGCAGCCTCGTCCGAGCACATGCTGGGCAGGATGCCGACGCAGCCGCACCCTCGCCATATTCATGTCCGAGCTGCGCCTGGTACACCGCGCCTACCCGGGAGTTGCGAGTCTACGACGACGACGCACGCGTGTCAGCCGACGACGTTCTGCTGCGGGCTGGAACGTGCGCTCGCGACACCCCGTCAGTCAGATTAAACCGCGCACGGCGGTCATGCTCACGCGCGCCCACCTTACTTCCTCTTGTCGGTAACTTAATGTTATCGTGTGCACGCGCGTTGACGTCGCGCGGGCTTGATCGTCACCTTTCGCGTCGGGCGCTCGAGCTCACGCGTGCCGGACGGACGGCCGCCCAACAACACCAGAAGACACACGCCAAACACGACCACACCACCACAAATCACAAACACACAAACACAGGGTGACGCGATCGGCGGGCCGCGTGAGCATGGGCAGGTACGTCAAAACCAGACGGGCGCTGCAGGTCGTAATTGACGCGCTGCGTGGAGAGACTACAACCGCAAGTAGCGCGCGTGGGGCCGTCCGACGCTAGCCTCGTCTTAAAACACTAGATAATAATGGTATAAAAAAATATGTTGTAATAATGACCCGCAACAGCTATTGAATATCCTGTATACGGTCACAATCAACCACAGTTAATCGCATATTTCCTTTACAATGTTTTAATATGTGTATCAGGACAGGCAATCCACAGCGACACTACTCTACACTGGTATAATCATGAGGTCGACACGAGATAACACAGTGGGCTCGGTTTTTCTATGTGACTGGGGAGTTTTTCCTTGTGACCCTGGTATTGCAATATTTTAACTTGGGATTGATACTGTACTCCGCCATTTCAGTGTAATGGTCCGTTGTAGTCAAGTGTATAACTTTCAATATCCACACATCAAGAGCGTCCATAAAGAGAAGCAGACAACAGAAAGCGTACAAATCAGTGAAGATGCTGAACACCCATGGTGGATCGTAGATAGTGCGAATCTAGATAAACCATTCTCACACTAAACACTTCATGTTTATATTATTATTTTAACGGTACATTTTATGATTGTGAGCAGTTATGTTAACCTTCAACAGGCAGGATCGCAGAATTGTATTGCTGTTTACTTATATATCATTAAATCAGCCTTGCGCTATTATAACAAACACAACGAACACCCATTGTTAAAAAAAGCAAATTCAAAAACCGCTAAGAGCTTAATGTACGGTGCTTTTAATACGAAATTGTTTTTACACTTTTCATCTCTACGGGGACTTTTTTCAGGGGATTTTTCAGGCATGGTATATTATTAGCTATGCTCAATTTGCGAGATAGATAATGAGCGAGGTATATATGAATTAAATCTGTATAGTATACTTATATATATATGTATCGGTATACCGAGAAAAACTTTATTATGAGTACATAAATCTAAGAGATGGTTCGTAGGTTTCGGAGGGCGCGATTCCTGGCCAGTAACCTTGCACACGTGGCAGAGTAAACGACTTTAACAGGGCCTCAGACAGGACGGGGGTCGGTGACAGAGGCGATTGAAAGTGACATGGGGTCGTTATCGAGTTTTTGCTTGTGCGTGGCCGGCCTCACTCCGTGGGTGGTCTAGGTATAGTGCCACTAGTATGATGGAGTTGATGGGTAGACTGGGGTAGAGGAGAGCGCGGTGCGACAAGCGCAGAGAAAACCGAGAGTATATATACTATAGTGTTAGTTATTACTTATTATAGAGAGAACGAGAGTGGAATGCAATATAGGGAGAATCAGAAGCAGATAGACCGGAGAGACAGGAAGAGACATGAGAGAGAAAAAGAGACAGAGAGAGAAAGAGAAGGAAAGAAAGAGAGAAAGGAGAGCAGAGAGAGAGAGGAGAAGAGAGAAGAGAATAGAGAGAGAAATAGATGCTAGAGAGAGAGAGATGAGCGAGAGAAGAGAGAGAGAGAGAGAAAAGAGAGAGGAGAGAGAGAGAGAGAAAGAGTGGCGCCAGTACAAACATCTTCCGGCGATTCACGCGCGATGCAAAAGCAACCGAACAAGATTCCCAGCTTTTCAACGAAGCCTTCTCAAGTACCGTGCCGTATAAAGAAAATCCGCGCGCGTCGCTACACTGAGGGCATCCGTCCACGTTGTGGCACCAAGCGAGAGGCGATTCCCAGGCAACCAAAGTATACAAATAGACGGGCGAGCCGCGCGCTTATATGTCGCGGCGAAAGATCACCGCGTGTCAGCTGAAGCGTACGTTAGGGCTTCATCTGCTTCATTCTCCCACCTGTTTTTTGACGAACCAATCTTGCGAGAGAATACGTAGACATATAAGCCGCTCCGCTGCGAGCGATCACTTACCGTGAGAGCGGTGCGCGCGAGTGGCTTGCTCTGGCCTGCAGCTGCTTTGTTTTCGACACAAAAAACAGCTAATCCGTGAAGTATGCCACATCGAGAATCAAGAAACTTTTAGTGATCCTATAAGTGACTTTTTAACGAACCTCAGTAAAAAAAAACGCGATCTGCGGAACGAGCGACGGCGGGATTGCCGAGAACGCGTCTCCCTTGCCGGTACCTACCCTGGCTGCATCTTCGTCTCCGATATTTATCTTCGATCTTTGTCTGCCCCACCTTTCCTGCCCCGCTTTTCGTCTCGATTCTATCGTCTTCTCTTGCGTCCGCCGACTCATCGCTCGCCCGTGACACTGTTCTAGGCGATGGCGCCATGCTCGTACGCCGACGTTTGATCGCAGACGTGAGCAGAACATGCTGGAATCGACTGCGGCCGAATAATGATCGAGGCCAGGAAGAAAGGACTACCGTGTAAGTCACGTGTGTGTGTGCGTGCGTGCGTGCGTCGTGCGTGTTCGTGCAGTGCGTGCGTGTGTGTGTGTGTGTGTGTGTGTGTGTGTGTGTGTGTATGGTGTGTGTGTGTGTGTGTGTGTGTGTTGTGTTGTGTGTGTGTGTTTGTGTGGTGGGTTGTGTCGTGGTGTGTGTGTGTCGTGCTGCGTGGTGTGTGTGTGGTGTGTGGTGTGTGTATGTGTGTTGTATGTGTGTGTGTGTGTGTGTTGTTGTGTGTGTTGTGTGTGTTGTGTTGTGTTGTGTATCTCATTCCCGAGGTGTTCGAAATGTGTAATAAACCGCCGCGCAGCACGCATACGGTATATAATCAGAATCGCACACTACGCCGATAGATGGCGCCTAGAGACCGTTATGATCTGTATTATGATCTGTATGATATCTGTATTATGATCTGTATGAGATCTGTATTATGATCTGTATGATACCTGTATTATGATCTGTATGATATCTGTATTATGATCTGTATGAGATCTGTATTATGATCTGTATGAGATCTGTATTATGATCTGTATGATACCTGTATTATGATCTGTATGAGATCTTTGTCTCCCACC